CTGCCCCAGCACACACCCCATTGAATTATCTAACACTGTTAAGTACATTATCAAAGGTCTTCCTTCAATTAAAGGCATCATAATTAGTGGTTCTTAAAGGTATTCCTTGATTCTGTCGAAAGCAGTCTGGCATTCGTCATTCCGTTTTACTACTTGATCTTTCTTCGGGAGTTTGAAGATCGGCTCACAAGTAGCAGTCAGATGTGAAATGAACCTGGCGATATAATTTAGGCGTCCCAAGAAACCTCTAACTTCCTTCTCAGTACGGGGAGTCGGCCTTCACCTTTGCAGGGCCTACCTGAATACCTTTGTCACTAATGATGAACCCCAGAAGTTTACTAGACCTTACCCCGAAGGTACACTTATTCGGATTTAACCTCAACATGTATGTCTTCAACCTGCAGACAGCTTTTCTAGATGATCAAGGTGTTCTTTCTTAGTTTGAGACTTGGCTATCATGTCATCAACATAAACCTCTATCTCATGGTGAATCATATTGTGGAACAAAGCTACCATGGCTTGCTGATAAGTTGCCCCAACATTATTCAACCCAAAAGGTATCACCTTGTAATAGAAAGTGCCCCACTGTGTGACGAAGGTTTTCTTATCCATGTCTTCGGATGCCATCTTGATCTGGTTGTAGCCAGAGAAACCATCCATGAAGGAAAAGATTTTGTGTTGTGTGGTGTTGTCAACCAGAACATCGATGTTGGGAAGCGGGAAGTCATCCTTGGGGCTTGCCCTGTTTAGGTCTCTGTAGTCTACAGACATCCGTACCTTGCCGTCTTTCTTAGGTACTGGGACCACGTTAGCAACCCACTACGGATAGGAAGTGACAGCTAAGAATCCAGCGCTGAACTATTTCATAACCTCTGCTTTGATCTTATCTGACATTTCAGGGCACATACGACGGACCTTTTGCTTTACCGGAGAATAATCTTCTTTAGTCGGCAGACGATGAACCACTATATCCGTGTCTAGTCCCGGCATGTCTTCATATGACCAGGAGAAGATCTCAACATTATCGTACAACATCTGCGCCAACCGTTGTTTGACACCAAGCTCCGGATTTGCACCAATCTTGACTTCTTTTCTGTCTACCTCAATGCCCAAGTTTATTGTCTCAACTGGCTCTTCATGAGGTTGTATAGCCCTCTATTCCCGCTGTAATAGTCTAGTAAGTTCTCCATGCACCTCACAACCTTCCTCACCTTCGTCCTCGGCTTGGTTGATCGGATTTTCGAAGTTATAACTGGCAATAGCAGAACTGTTATCAATGGGATCCAGAGTGGATATGGATCTGCAGTTTGATATGTAAGTGTGTGTAAGAGCATAGCTGTATTGATAAAGAGAAAACCAGAAAAGAAAAACAGAGAGCGCAAAATTTGTATGCAAGAATGTCCAATGTTTTATTGATGACATATGATAATTACATATAATAACCCTCACAAATAAACCATTGTGCCTCGGGTAAGACACACGGCCATAGAGTTTATATTGTTTATTACAAATCCGAAAAACAAGTAAGACAATTACTGCTGAACAAAAGTAATCGGCACAAAATCTTTGGTCGTCCAGTTACTAGGTCCACCATTGGTAGTAGGGTAGATCCAGCTATCAATATCAGAATCCTCATTATTGTCTTCTATAGCATTGACCCCACGATTGTTGATGCGTAGGGGAGGTCCTCCAGCCCGAGCACGTCGAACAGCCCTTTGATCTCCTGAATTAAAGCCCAGACCAAATTTTTCATTTTTGTAAGGAAAATCAAGGAGTTGTCCCCAAATGGTACACCCACCTTCTTCAACTACTACTCTGGCGTCCTTGAGAGAAGCCGTCTTCAAAGGAGATTTTATGATCTTTGGCACACTGGTAACAGTCTCGGTTGATGCCATAGTATGGGGAACCTCTTCAAACTTTTGACAAGGGGTCTCTATGAACTCACTGTCCATCTCCACATACTTGAAAGAATTCATATGGCTTACTATGTACTCCTCTTCACCATGCACAGTGACAATCTTCCCCTTCACTGGATACTTCAGCATTTGGTGTAGTGTAGAAGTAACGGCCCCAACTTCATGGATCCAAGGACGACCCAACAAACAAGAATAATATGGCCTAATATCCATCACATAGAAAGTGGATTTAAAGGTCTGGGAACCCACTTTGACAGGGATGTCCACCTCCTCGTGCACCATTCTTTTTGAACCATTAAAATCCCTCACCACAATGTTACTTAGCTTTAAGGCCAAACCTTCAAAATCTAGCCTGTCAAGAGGCTTCTTGGGAAGAACATTCAGTGAAGATCCAGTGTCCACTAACACGTGGGCCATAGTAATGCCCCTGCATTCGATCGAGACATGCAAAGCATCATTAGTCTTTCTCCCCTTGGGTGTCAAATAAGCATCAGAAAAACCCAACCCATTATTGGCAGTCAAACTGGCCACACAGTCCTTGAATTGGTCAGCGGAGGTTTCTTGCGGCACATGCATATTCTTGAGAAATATAATCAAAGCCTTTGCATGGGCCTCAGAACACAATAGTAGAGCCAGCATTGATATCTTCAAAGGGGTCTTCCACAGCTGTTCGACCATATTGTAGTCGCTCTTCTTGATTATTTTTAAGATCTCCTCCATTTCTTGTTTAGAGGATTCCAAAACAACTTTTCTAGGTTCCTCCGTCTGGGCAGGCTCAGCAATAACTTCTTTTCCCCGAGTCCCAGATGACTCATCGGCAGGGGTAGCAACTGGTGTAAGGATGGGAGTAGTAGCATAGTACTAGCAGGAACAACAGATGGAATAACAACAGGCTTAGCAACAGTCTTCGGGGAGATCTCGGGAGAGAAAACCCTTCCACTTCGAGTAATTTTTCTGGTCCCGACAATGTTATTGATATCGAGATCAACCTCTTCAGCTTTTTCGTCTATAATGGTTAACAGATCCTGTTTGATGCCATGGTAGTAAACGTCAGCACCATAAATCCAAGGAACAACTTTGTTCGAGGAGTATGGTACAGGGCCAGGAAAAGTGATTATTAATGGAGCAATTCATGGAGCAGGTGTAATCCTAACAGGTCTTTTGGAGGAGACCTTGGAAGGATTGGTGGAAATGCTTATGATAGCAACATCTTCATGTACGACAGTCAGAATCGGAGTCTTTTCGAACAAAACCTCCTTGTTATCCATCAGGCATTGAACACCTGATTTCAGCAAATAACAACCAGAAGGCAGAGATAAAGCTTTTAAGCAAACCCAAGTATTGTTCTTAGTTAAGAGTTTTGACTAAGTATTGTTGATTTGAAGTGTAATCTTCTTTTAGGTTTACCTTGGTACTAGCCACTGTGATTGTGATTGGTTTATAGACTCTCACTGGGATTGGGGCAAGTCTTTTATAAATACGGTGATTGGAAGTGAGATGGGATTTCTCATATCTAAATGATGATTTCTAGGTAGAAGTTGCACAAGGTAGGGACAGGAGAAAAGTTGTAAACTGAGATTGTTTAGGCTTGGAACTAATACTATCATAGTGGATTTCCTTCCTGGCTTGGATGCCCCTAGAGTAGGTGATGTTGCACTGAACTGGGTTAACCATTCACTGTTTTCTTTATCATTCTGCAATTTATCCTTCTGCATATTTAACAGTTTGATGTTGAAATTCTGTATTAAAAACAGATGTCGTAACATTTGTCTTGACATTGTTCTGATGTTGAAGCATCAATATTAGCATGTGTTCCAGGTGTCATAATTTCCTTAACTTCTCCCCATTATCATGAAGGTTGTTCACTGACTATATTTATAGATTTAGCAATGACTTTCTCTCATTTATCTTTCAAATTGGGTGGACCGCATGGGTGTATCCTTTATATTCCCCCTGATGGACTTATTGTTAGGCGAGGGCATGCTAATCTAGGAATTTACCAAATATGACTTTCCACCATTCATGGGAGTTTACTACGGGTACAACCAGATAACTATGTTCAGACCTTATAGGAGGGAAAAAACATTTGTCTCTAAGAAAGCCAACTACCAATATGATGGAATGCTCTTGGGATTGGGGAACACAAATGTGACATACCAAAGGGTGATGGATAAGGCTTTTCGTGAGGAGATAGGTAAAATGTTAGAGGTATATAGGGACTCATATCATTTTGAAGATAAAAATGATCTCTAGACGGTGAGACATAGACTTCTTAGTGTCGATTGTCCAAGAAATATGTATCAATTTCCCCTACACAAAAGATAAGTATCTCTCAAAGTTATTCCAAATTTAAATAAATAAATCTTTCTCTTAAAAGAAATGTTGTGTGTACTAGTACTATTATAGTCATCGGCAATGTGGCATAGATTGTCCCCTAGAAGGAACGCGCTTGAAGCGCAGTTGCCGCACCACCTCTTTGCAACTATTCATCCCAAGAGCGTATATGGTGGAGCCATGAAGGCGTCCACCCTGAACCAGGACAAAACATGGGGATAGGAACAAGAACTCCACCTTTGGTTAAGCACGATTCCTATTAACGCTCAAGACTTGCACCAACTCTCATCGATTGATATGGGTAGTGACAGGCTTAACAGTCACACTAGCTCCATTTGGCTGGGATGGGTAATGACTAAGCTTAGTAATTACTCTGACTTGCATTAATTGGGACAACAAAATTTAGCAAATATGCCAAATTTCACCTGAGAGACAAGCGACAATGAGCTTCAAATATCATGTTAATTCCCACTTAAGAAGGACTAGATAGGACATTACTAATGGTACAAGGCCCCACTTGCTAAAACAGTTAAATTCAATCATGGCAATAGCATGAACCATAAGTTTGCTCGAAACCGAGAAATTGAGTCGATAATGACCCAGATAGTAAAACGAGAATACCATGAAGAGTATTAAATAAATCACAACATGCACAAAGGAAACGTCAAACAAAAAAGGTAAATAAATAAATATTTTTGTGCGTACAAGTAGAAAAAAATTTAAGGGCATAACACCTTAGTTACATTGCAATTAAAAACAAATCAAGTCACTCCATTTTGAGATGTTGAAACTACATCCTCCACCAAGGCCTCGTCTGAACGACCTTGAACGGTTCAAGTTAAAAGCGGGGAATAGATATGTTCGATAAAGTGCTTCCACTTGATCAGCCGCTTGTTCAAAGGCTTGGTACACCCTCTTAAGATTTTTCTGGAGGGGCTCATCAACCTCCATCATTAGTCCAGCCACTCGTCCCTCATAGGCTTCACGATCCTTAACTTGAGATTCCTTCTCTTGTTGAAGGGCTCCCAAAGCCTCGCCAGCATGCGACTTCATCTCCCCCGCATCAGTGGTAGCCTCATTTAAATACATTTATCCTTTCAAGAGAGGACTCAAGCTCAGCAATCCTACAATTCATAGAGTAAGAAGATCTGTGAGATTTTGCCTCCGTCTAAAGAGACTCGTCACTACTAACCTTATCTTAAAGTGTTGAAGCTTATATCTTTCTTTTCCAGCTGATTCACACTTACTCTTCTAGGTATCTATTTCCTTATAAGGATTACCCATAGCTAAAACATTACCTCGGCCAGTAGAATCTAGGGAAAATAGAGAAGCATCCCTGTAAGTATAAAAAATAACCTCTGAATAGAGATCAATCTTTTCCGCTTCAGGAACATTCTAAAGATAAGCATGGCCATTTTATGATATCACATCTAGGGCCTCCTGAGAAGCGCATGGAATCCGGGATGGCAAGATAGTCAGAAACTTGAGGAGAGGAGTGGATGACCCGTAAGCAGCACCCCCAGATAGTTGGTATGTTTAGCTAAATCTTCCTCTTGGGGAGGACTCTGATCTAGGTCCCGGTCCCTTTTGTTATTAGCTGGAGTGGACTGGAATGATGCTCAACAATTGTAGAAGTAACTTTGGAAGAAGGTTGGCCCCGACCAAGGGAGACCCTTGAAACTCCAATAGTAATATATATGCTAGAACCAATAAGATGGGGAGTGACGGCTCAAATCGAATGAGTAACGGTGACACCTTGAGCCTCCCTCTCTTTAGAAATGGTGTAAACCTTCTTTAAAGAATCCATTATATTTGTGATCAAACACTTGTGTAAAAATGGAGATGGGCTACAAGAGGATGACTTTATCATCACCAAAAATACTGATTATGCATGTAATAGCACAAGTATCAACGGATTGTTTCCTCTTAAGATAAGACTCTACCTTGGTAGGACCAAACCGCTACTCATAACCAAGATTATCATAAAATGCATCTAGATACTTCTTCGTATTAATCTCGTCAGTAGTGAGAGAATCAAGACGGACAATATACATTTGAGGTTTACGTTTGAAATCACTACTACAAAATGCACAAACAACAACGCCCAAATCACCACGGTTCTTCCTAACATTATGGTCACTTATATAAGCCCAGGTACTAACTTTGTTTTTTATTAAAAATTGTTAGGTTATAATAACGGTCGTTGCAGAAACCGTGTTTATAATATCAAGTTTTCTTGGGTTCGAACCTCGGCTCTGTCAAATAATTTATTCTTTTAAAATTATGCCTCTCCTTTTCTTTTATATTTTTTTAAATAAAAAATAAAAGGTGGTGGCATAACGGTGCTTAATTCAATCGTTTTTAGATTGTTTAAACAATTATTATGATTGTGTTGTCTAAACGTGATCAAAGGTTTTACTGATAAATTAAAACAACTAATCCTTATTTCTTTCATAATATGTCCTAGGCAAACAAGAGAACCAGATACAACAACGGTATTCTTCATCTTCAACTGAAAATCTTCAACATATTCATTCTTGTTCATCTTCAATCGAAAAACTTCAACATCTTCATTCTTGTTCTCGTCCTTATCTTCGATGTACGGTACTCTTCATCCCTTTTCCATTCAATGTTTTTAATTGTGTAATTGGATATAGAAGTGAACCAAAATATTATACCTTTCTAAGTTGTTCATGTATATTGTTCATACATATTGTTCTTAGGAGATATATGTGTTGTTTGTTAGCTGCTCTGTTGGATATAGAAGTGAACAAAAATATTATATTCATATGCTTAAGGTTTAGAGTTATAGTTTTTGGTTTAGATTTTGGTGTGTGTAGGTGTTTAGGTATTGGCTTGCATTTTTGTTAAATTCCAAGTGTATGTGTGAATGTCATGATCGATGTCATAACATTCTAGTTCAGGTTGTACTAACTCAATAGGTACATGTGCAGAAAAATATTGTAATTCAAATACTGATGTTTATAAGTGTGTATCTGAGCATGTTTGCAAAATGATCACATTTTGCTAAATCAGTAGACAGGTTTTCTCAGATGTCATAACAGATGTTATGACATCCTGTTCTGAACTAACAGGATTGCAGGATTGGATAAGTCTGAGTTTTTTCAGGAAATAACTCAGTCCCCTCTAAACAGAATCCTGCGTTTTCTGAGGAGTAACCTAGCTCAATCCTAACCTGATCAATAAAGTACTGTGACCTGGTCTTTAGGTCAAATGGAATCAACCCTAGGTTTTTGGAAACCCTAACTGAAGTTGCAGCTGCTATATATTCAACAGAGCTGCGGTTTTTCAAGGATCCCTGCTGATTGATTAGAAGATCAATTTTGTAATCTGTATAGATTTGTTTATTGTACTCCAAGCAATTATCATTGCGATAAGTGTCTTGGAATAGGTTTCAATTGTAAGGGTTGTGTAGCACTCAAAGCTTTGAAGCAAGAGTGTTTGAATGTTACTTGACTAAAGCTGTGAAGCAGAGTCAAGTTAGTTGTGTACATCACTCAAAGCTGTGAAGCACGAGTGATTATGTTACTTGATTAAAAAACTGTGAAGCTTAATCAAGTGTGTGTTTTGAAGAGTGTCTTCATCAATTCTCAAGTCAAATTGGTTTATGTATCACTGCTGTGATTGAGGGGGAGTGAGTAGGAACTCAGGTTTAAGTTGTACTTAGATTAGAATTGCATTGGGTAGGTCTTAAGTGAAGGAGATAAACTGGTTGGTTTATTCCTGAATTAACATCTCTTATAGTGGATTCTCTCCCTGGCTTGGTAGCCCCCAGAGTAGGTGTTGTTGCACACTGAACTGGGTAAACAATTGACTGTGTTATTTACTACTTTTGTATTTACTGTCATATAGTAAGTCAGATACGGTGTCATAACATTGGACGTGACATTGAGTATCTGTAGCCAGAATTTCAATTGGCATCAGAGCAGGCACCCTGCCTGTATTACTGGGTGAGATCTAGGGATATCACTTTCTGGCACTATGGACAAAGAAGGAGTTTTTGGAAATAGACCACCCATTCTGGATGGAACTAATTATGACTACTGGAAACCTCGTATGATTGCCTTCCTAAAATCTCTGGACAAAAAGGCTTGGAGAGCTGCTGATAAAGGATGGATACATCCCACCATAACTGAAAGAGATGGGACAATCAGTCTGAAGCCTGAGGAAGATTGGAGTAAAGAAGAAGATGAGTTAGCTCTGGGAAATTCAAAAGCCTTAAATGCCTTGTTCAATGGAATTGATAGAAACATCTTCAGACTAGTACATCAATATGAACTGGCCAAGGAAGTTTGGGACACCCTCAAAACTACTCATGAGGGCACTTCCAAAGTAAAGATGTCAAGGCTTCAGATGTTGACCACTAAGTTTGAGAATCTAAAAATGATGGAAGATGAAACCATTCATGAGTTTCACATGAACATCTTGGAGATTGCCAACACCTCAGGAGCACTGGGAGAAAAAATGTCAGAAGAAAAACTGGTGAGGAAGATTCTCAGATCCTTGCCTAACAGATTTGCAATGAAGGTAACTGCCATAGAGGAAGCCCAGGACATTAGCAAGTTAAAAGTGGATGAACTTATTGGGTCTCTTCAGACTTTTGAGATGGGGATCACTGATAATGGTGACAAGAAGAACAAAAGCATAGCACTTGTATCCAACACTGATGTTGAATACAAGGAGGATGAAGAAGAAAACATATCAGAAGCCATTGCCATGCTTGGAAGACAGTTCAACAGGCTCATCAAAAGAATGGACCCAAAGTCAAGGTCTAATGTTCATAACATTCCTTCTGACATTGACAGTTCCAGCAGAAGACCAAGGTTAGAAGATAAGGAAAACCAAGGCAGAGGTATTCAATGCCATGGATGTGAAGGATATGGACATATTCGAGCTGAATGTCCTACCTTTCTTAAGAAGAAAAAGAAAGGAATGACTGTTACTTGGTCTGACTATGATTCAGAAAGCAATTCTGAAGAAGAATCTGCCAAACTAGTTACTGCCCTAACTAGTGTTTGTACTTCTGAAAGTGACACCAGTGATGAAGAAGTAACATTTGAAGAACTGGCTGATACCTACAAGAAATTGTGTATCAGAAGTGGTGAAGTCTGTGTGCAAAATGAGAAACAATCAAAACTCATTGTAAAGCTGGAGGCTGAAAAGAGGGCAAATCTTGAAACTATAAGTCATTTAGAAGGAGAAGTTCAACTGCTGAACTCACAACTGAATCAAATGACCAAATCTGTCAAGATGTTGACCAATGGAACAGACAAATTGGAAGAGATCCTTCAGGCTGGTCAAAATATGGGAAATAAATCTGGCCTAGGATTTGTGGAAACAAAGAAATTTGGTACCGGGAAGCAAATGTCAAAACGGATGTCTCAACATTACTCTCAACATCAGGGACAGAGACATATGAAGAAAAGGTACCAAAGATGGAGATGTCATCATTGTGGGAAATATGGTCACATAAAGCCCTTCTGCTTCAGATTACATGGATATCCTAAACAGAACTCAGATGTCAAACCTAAGTCTAAAAAGGTACCACACGCTCCTCAATGGAAGAAAAAGGCTACTGCACTGATAGCACACACTTCCCTGAAGATCTCTGCAAAGGAAGATTGGTACTTTGACAGTGGATGTTCCAGACACATGACTGGATTCAAAAATCTCCTCAATAATGTTATGCCTCACACCACCAGTTTTGTGACCTTTGGAGATGGTGCTAAAGGAGAAATCAAAGGAGTTGGTAATTTGGACTACCCTGGAGTTCCAAGTCTGAATAAGGTACTGCTGGTAAAAGGGTTGACTACTAATCTCATCAGCATCAGTCAATTATGTGATCTAGGATTCATGGTCAACTTCTCAAGATCTGAATGTCTAGTGTTTAATGAAAAACTAGATGTTGTAATGAGAGGAATCAAATCCAAAAATAACTGTTATGTGTGGCAGCCTGAGAACACTGATATCTCCACTATGAGTCAAATCATCAAAGAAGAAAAAGAGATGAAACAGTGGCAGCATAAGCTTGA